AGTAATCAAGAAAAGCTTGGAAAAAATATGGCATGAAACCGTCCTCATTTACATATATAATGCGGGAATTTAAGTGAAATGTTTAATATAGCATTTTATAGTCTATTTGATGATTGTAGTAATTGATGTTTGGATGAGGAATTGTAGTGATTGATGTTTAAATTGTTACTGTTCTGATGGGTATTCATTTTGTCATTGTTCTGATTGATGTGTATGTGCGTGTTAATAAACGGACATATATTAGTCCTTGCGTGCGTGGTTGCGTGTTAATAAACGGACATATGTTAGTCCTTGCGTGCGTGGTTGCGTGTTAATAAAGGGACATATATTAGTCCTTGCGTGCGTCCGCCAGCCTGGAAATAACGCAGTCCTACCTAAAGCCATGCGTGATATAATTAATTTTTGAAATATTCATCAGCGCAGATGGATTTTGTGATAATTATAATAAAAACACTCCAATATATAAGTTAATCCGGGTGCATGTATTAAATCCAAGTTGGGCAGCTCTGTGTACTGATGCCTCGCTCCCTCACCATTATTTAACATCTTCCGAAATAATATACAACAACCTCCCCTTTATATATATATCTATATATATATATATATATATACTTTATATATATATATATATATATATATATATATATATAATATATATATATATATATATATATATATATATATATATATATATATATATATATATATATATATATGCACGCCAGCATGCAGTCTGCATCTTGCGAAGCGGTAAAAAAGAACTAAAAGTTCCAAAGGTTTGCATCAAGACACGAAAACTGACTTGAGAACAATAAGAAACTGACTTGCAAAGATAATTTAGCCTGCAGGGAATTCATCCTAACAACAAAAAAAAAATGGAACAAGAAAGAATATGATCATTACATAAAAAATACTGAGAAATGACATCATGATAAAGTTCAGATTTGTTTTACAACTGCAGGAAAATAGAATAACAACGTAAATGGACGTTAGAAACGCAAATGAGACACACTTTACGGTCGATCAACAAGTGGGAAGCACTTAAAGAAGAAGTTGTGTAAGCCACCTCAAAGACCAGTCTCAAGAAATTTACAAAAGCACTAGGTGTAAATAACCGGGAGGCCCTCCTCCTTCCGCCACACAAACACGCCCACACATGCACAAAACCACACAGATACACATGCCCACAGATACACAAGCCCACACAGACACAAGCACACACAGACACAAGCACACACAGACACAAACACACACAGACCCACACAGACACAAGCACACACAGACACACACACACAGACACAGGAACACACAGACACAAGCACACACACAGACACAAGCACACACACAGACACAAGCACACAAACAGACACAAGCACACACAGACACAAGCACACACAGACACAAGCACACACACAGACACAAGCACACACACAGACACAAGCACACACACAGACACAAGCACACACAGACACAAGCACACACACAGACACAAGCACACACACAGACATAAGCACACAGACACAAGCACACACAGACACATTAGGTGTTGGAGATACGAGGAAAATACATTACCAGTAACGATAATTAAATAGTTCAGAATCCGACTTTTAATAGAACATGATTTGATTATATCTTGTTTCTTACGGTCGTAATTCAAATTAATTGTTCTGCCTGTGACAGAAAGAGACAGACTCGACATAACAATTAATAGCAGTCCATAAAATAGTATTGTGCTGGACACTCTTTATGCAAAATGATGTGTATATTTGTATATGTTTAAGTTGTTTACACAACATGTGCACAAATGTTTGTGTATTATATAATTTGATATATAATGGTTTCTGAAGTATATTTCAGTATCTTTTTCCCAGCTATGTTTAGTACTTTTACTAAAATGTACTTCTACTCACAATAGTACTTTTAATTGGATGATATTTTCCCCCCACTGCATATATCTAAAACAAATTTTTTTGTCATCTCCAAAGAAATTGATCTATTTGAAGCCAAGCTATGAGACATACATCATAAGTACACTTCATTATGTTCTTAACTTGAGAAGGAAGTTGAAAAATTAACTCTCCAAAGTTCACTTTACAGTTGTATTACGGCCCGACGCTTAGAGATCCGTTTCGTTGACCCTTGTCAACATTTTCAAAGGCAGAAGTGAGGTGTATATACCGCATGACTCGACCAATCAAATATATCACCAACAAGGATAAGGCTAAACAGGGTGTCGCATGGGCCAATAGACTTACTACAGTATCCTTATTTATGTTTTTACGGTAGCTGGGGCAGTGTACTGGATATTCTACCTTGATCTTGAAGATGGTAAAATGAACCTGAGTGTGAGCTGGCTGTTAAAAATTGGTTGAGATTGTTTGATATGTAGTGCTTCGGCGATGTCTGATCTGTTGTCATTGGCTCTGGAGAGGTCGGGCTTCAGCTCCCGTCCTCCTCTCCCCTCAGTCATGGCTTCTGAGATTATAGGAGTCGTAGACGGAGCCAAGAGGAACCTGGATGAGTGCCACATCAACTATGGTCAACTATGTCATTGGATATGTGTTATTTCGGTGTTGTTGTTCGTGGTATCTCTGGTGATGATTTGTATGAGTGTAGAAATTATATTCTACGGTGACGTCTTGTTGTTGTGCATTGTCAGGTGCCTTGAAGGAGATGTTGTTGTCTATATATTGAGATCATTTGGGGTTTACAGTTCCCAGGTGAGCACGTTAAGGCATAGGCGACATTTGTATCTTTCAAGGGAGAATTATTCACACACACGCACACGCACACACACACACACACACACACACACACACACACACACACACACACACACACACACACACACACACACGATTGATTGTTGATTGACAGTTGAGAGGCGGGACCAAAGAGCCAAAGCTCAACCCCCGCAAACACAACTAGGTGAATATAGTGTTGCCATCAAACCACTACAACCCTGAATAAACACAGCTTCAGAATTAAGTCATAAAGAAACTCAATTGTTCCCACGTGAAGCAACACTGGGAATTAAGTGTTGTAAACTTGGCGCATTTTCCCCCAATAAAATATTATCTCAAACCAAAATTAACCAAGAAACAAACCTAAATTTATAGACAAAACCATAATGAGTCCCAAATGACCAGGATACATGAAGATACATGAATACATGAATACATGACCAGAAGATACATAATATAAAACAAATGCAACATATGCAAGTAAGTAATTATCAACAGAAGGCACTAAGCAACACATACAAGTACAAATAATAATAATAATAATAATAATAATAATAATAATAATAATAATAATAATAATAATAATAATAATAATAATAATACACAGAACCTAATTGCACTATATTGATGCATCAATGAGGAAATCTGTAGGAGCCGTGGAGAGGGATCGAACCTATGCGCTGGGTGTTCCCTGGCACACGCTTTAGACAACTATGCCACGATATGGTCAAAAGAATTGCAACCTGGGGTACTAATGCACCCACTAGGATTCCCTGAGGCTTCCACTGAAGCCGAAGTTTCACACGATCCTATATTATTGTGTATATGAGTACGTGCAGACAGAACGTACTTTACGAACTTGTTTACCTCTCATATACGTGCAATATCCCACGTGCCTCGCGCTGTACATACTACGGACTGTAATCAATTTGCACAAGCACAATCATATCTTTAATCTACATGCTAACATTATTTCCCAAAGTTATATGGAACTTATATCGTACTTTATTACCATCTATATATTCTTATTCCGTGCAGCTGCCCCTCTTTTAATCTTAATTACCTCAATCTTCATCTCTTCCTTCAGTCCCGTCCCGTTCTCCCTCGACCCGTCCCATCCCACCAAACCTGCCCGGACAGGATGGTAAAGTTGTCTGCCTCAGGTATCACATCTAATACAATAAAGTGGAGTTTATGTTGATCCTGGAGCCAATAGGTGTCTCAGGCCAGAGGAACTTACATTAAACGACCCCTGGTAAGGCTGTTCCAGGCTGGCCCTCGCGGTGAAGGGGCGTCGTCGGCTCCCCAATATACTGGTAGAAGGCATTCGTTACGTGAGAATGAATCCTTAGACTGCCTCGTAGTGCACGGGACTTTAGATACAGCAGCAACTTTATTTCAACACATTTTGGGGTTTCAACAATGTAGAGAAGTTGAACTTCCTTCTCTCTACAACTTTTCAACTGTTTTGAGATTAAATTTGTTTTGTTGATACCGTTTGGGCTGTGACGGTTGTCTCTGATGGCGCATTTGATTACTGGGAAGCTGTTTATATGGGATGAGATTGGATAAGGTCAAGATAGTGAAGGTATAGTGAGGTCAGGATGGTGAAGGTGTAGTGAAGGTGTAGTGAGGTAAGCTTGGTGTTTATCAACAGTGTTGTCAGCACCTGGTGTTACGTTGCCAGAATGTCACGCCACAACCTCCACACGCTTTTATCTTTCTAGACCAACAGGAGCTGAAGCCTGTGGCGTTATCTCATTGGCAGCTCAGAGGGATTACATGATCGGAGCGCCACGAGGCAGACCTCGGGGCTTTAAGACCCGTGGAATACAAGAGGATTAGAATTCAATAAATCTTTTAGTGTGACGAATGAACATGAAGATTAATGTTATCACGAACTTGTGCAAGTGCGACACCATAACGAGGTCATTAGGGTGTATGACGGACGTCAGAGGGGGAAATGCCTGCGATAATCTCATTGTGTATATAAGGGGTGGTTGTCCTGTGCTTGCCAATCCACACTCAATTGTGCCCTCGTTGCTACCATGAAGCTCGCTAAGGCTCTCGCTCTCCTAGCTGCCCTGGTGGCCCTGGCTGCCGCCGACTGTGACCTGCCCTACTGCAAGATTGTGGCCGGGGTGGAGGTGCGGTGCAACGATCCACAGGCGTGGTTCGAGTACCACCCTCATCCCACCGACCGCCATCTCTTCATTCAGTGCACCACCTACGGTCCCCAAGTGATGAGCTGTGCTCCGGGCACAGCCTGGAACCAGGAGGCCTCCGTCTGTGTCCACGACACCGCCGTGCCCAGCTGCAGCGCCGACGTCGGCATCTGTGACTGCGACAAGTGTTTCATGGCAGATCCCCTCGACAAAACCTGCTACTACGCATGTTCCGTGAGTACTTGACCCCCTGATCTCTGCCTCCAGACACCAGTTTGTTTCCTCTCAGTCAGATCACACATGTTTCCCTGGTAACTGACGAATGTCAGAGAACTTACAAATAAAAGGGACTAATCCGTCTCCCAGTATGCCCAGACGAGTCTCCTCCGACCCGTCTGGGCATTATTCCCAGCTAGTCATTTTCTTAAGATCAGCTGGGAAAAAAAATGTAATTTTCAACTGATTTTCTACCTAATGCCACTATACATCACTAGTCATTCAATGTCACTCAAATCTGAAAGGGTGTATAGGAGAGGCCTGGGCATAGGGTCGACCCGGGCACCGCCGGGTAATCTGTCTCGTCCTTCATACAAACCAAGAATATATGTTGCACCTTCTTACCCCCATCACCACCTCTAAGCTCACTATCACCTCTAAGCTCCAACACCATATACAACTACCTCATTTAAGCTTACTATCACCTTACCACCACTTACTCTAAGCTCACTATCACCTCTTAACACCATACAACTACCTCGTCTAAACTCACTATCACCTTCATCATCATACCTCCACCTCCTTCCACCCAACAATCTCTAACACCATCACCTGTGTTAGAATGCCATTGGCCACCACAATCGCCACTACCACTCCGTAAAAAAAAATAAATCTATTTTGCCTACTCAAAAAACACATGAACCCAGGCAATTTAACTAACCAATCGATGCAGATGCATAGCAAACGTTAATATCACGGTGCTTTAATTGTTACTAACACGTCGCATTTCTAGCGCAATGGTCGATTCCGTAATAGATACGGCGCAGTAGGTGAGAGGAAAGGTGATGCTATAAACCAGTAATAACAGTTCTCTTTCCCCGCAGCTGGACGCAAATGGTGAGTGCACAGCTGGAGATCACACGGGGTGATTGGCACTCTCTCCGCCACTGCCACGAGTGCCAAGAGTGCCAAGAGTACAAGGGAGTATAACGCTTATTATAAGTATATTCTATGCTGCAGGTGAGACACCTGTGGCACCTGTGTATTCCCAACGGTCCAAATGGTTGGTTACTGATCCAATTCGCCTCTTATCTTCATATCCCAGCTCCTTGTCCTTATATTCCTAGCTCCTTGTCCTCATATTCCTAGCTCATTGTTCTCATATCCCAGCTCCTTGTCCTCATATTCCTAGATCCTTGTTCTCATATCCCAGCTCCTTGTTCTCATATTCCAGTTACTTGTCTTCATATTCCTAGCTCCTTGTTCTCATATTCCTAGCTCCTTGTTCTCATATCCCAGCTCCTTGTCTTCATATCCTAGCTCCTTGTTCTCATATCCCAGTTCCTCGTTCTTATATCATAGCTTCTTGTTCTCATATCCCACCTCCTTGTTCTCATATCCCAGCTCCTTGTTCTCATATACCAGCTCCTTGTCCTCATATCCCAGCTCCTTGTCCTCATATCCCAGCTCCTTGCCCTCTTATTCCAGCTCCTTGTCCTCATATACCAGCTCCTTGTCCTCATCTCCCAGCTCCTTGTCCTCATATCCCAGCTCCTTGTCCTCATATCTCAGCTCCTTGGATTCTCCTGGTAATTAGCTCACCTTCTTCAAGTATGGTCAAACAATGCTCGCTCTTCAGCTGAGTTGCTGAGAACGGCCATTACTGTCATAAGACTGTGCTGAAGACACAGTTAAACCTTCAAACAATTAATCATAATATCTCAGGTTCTTTGAAAAATATCTAAATATATATTAATTGGCTAAATGCATTTAAATCTGTATTATTGTTAAAGTAAACTGAGTTGCTGACATTGCTAAAACTTGTAAGAATAATCAAAATCTAAGATTGTTAAGAAAAGTTGGATAAATGAGTTCAGATTTGCATTATTGTATATTTCAACTATTTGGAGATATTTAATTTGGGGTTATAATAACAGGGTTTTTATTCCTTGTTGTTGAAAGTAATCTTTAGTCTTCCACAGGCCAGAGAGGCGTCCCTGTAGCGATGAAATGTCCCGCTGGTACAGTATGGAGTCCCAGCGTGAACATCTGCCTGTAGGTCACCACACACCACCACCTGACTAGCCACCTGGGCTGTGTGTGTGTCGCCAGCTGGCGCCCGGGATAAGGATTACATTACCGTTCTCACACTCCACCTGCCTTACCATTTGGCGCCCGGGATAAGGAATATCTACGCTGTCCTGTGCCAACAGCAACAGTCTGCGCCCCCCTGATGGACCATCGACCGACACAGTACACTGCCAAGCTCTGACTTCCGGAAAATAACTCTGAATATACATGAAATACTTGCAAACTTACTCTGGTGCAAATTGCAACAGAGTTAACTTGGCAGCGTACAAATAGTTCTAAGTTTATCTCTTCAAAATCTAAATTGCTAACTTGCTGATGCCTCTTTGTCAAATATTTCAGTCAAAATAAACCTTTCAAGCAAGATGATGTTGTCTACTGTCCTCTCTTCGTTACTGAGCTGACTCCCTTTCCGTTACCACACCTTTCCCTCCCCCCTCCCTCTCTCTCTCTCCCTTTCAACGTTCCCTCTCGACCCTTTACACACTTCCCTCCACTCTCAAGGAAGACATCACATTCTTGACCTTGCCACACCTAACAAGCTGGTGGAACAGAGCACAGACACACAACGTACAGAGACGCCAAGCTCACACAACACGTCACAGGTCATGACGTATCGTCAGGAAATTCTTAAATATAACTGTTGCAAAGGGTTATGGTACCTTTTGTCAGCCCTGTAAGGCGAGATCACTGTAAGCAAAGGTGCCAACGGGACTATTAGGACTGATATCATTATAGGTGTTGCATTTTCTAAAGCAACTTGGTGAAAAAGAACAAGGGGGTCACACAAGGTCAGGGACCAGCGCCAAAGGTCACTTATTGAAACTAAAAACATTAAATTAAGGAAATAAAAAAAAAAACTTCCATGGTGAGAGGGCTGGACCCCTGAAGCCCAGTACCAGTAGGCCTTGCCAGAGTCCGGACCACAAGGATATTGAGTTTCCAAAACCAACAAAAGGTAAGATTGAGTTGATTGCACTCAAAATGAAAGTGGTGAAGTCAAACTCTATATACGAATCCAAAGATAGATGTCACAAATCTCCCTGGGTATATATAATGACTCACACCAGTCAAGTAATGGTCAAGGGGGGGGGGAGCACATGACCTGGAACCCATTACCTACAAGCGCACGTATGTAAATACGTCAATAACGTATCACACACACACACACACACACACACACACACACACACACACACACACACACACACACCTCGCGAGGCCTCGAATGAGCCTCGCGGCCGAGTAGATAGCACATGGGGGGGGGGGGGTGTCGTAGTCCTAATGGCCCGGGTTCGATTCCAGGCGGAGGCGGAAACAAACGGGCAGATTTTTTTTTACCTTAGTGCCCCTGTTCATCTAGCAGTAAATAGGTACCTATGAGATAGACAGCTGCTACGGGCTGCTTCCTTTGGATGTATGCGTGAGAAATATATATATAGTAGATATCATAAAGGAAAAATAGATTGGTTAGAAAGGCGGGGTCCAAGAGCTAATAGCTCGATTCAGCAGACACAAATAATAAATACAAATAGTAACTCCACACACACAGTTCACGTATGAAATGTATTTAAATATAAACATGAACAAATAGGGAATGAAGAAACATAATTAATCATCCAATACGAGGAAAAGTGAGGCTCAAGAGCTAGCGCTCGACCGTGCAAGCGTGGTACACCTGGCGAGTGCCGACCCCAGTGTTCACTCGGCCACCAAGAAGGCCCAGCAGTACGCAGCAGCAGCAGCAGTAGCAGCAGCAGCAGCAGCAGCAGCAGCAGCAGCAGCAGCAGCAGGCGACCGACAGATCAAGGCGACTGCTACTCATCTCACACCCGTCTCCCACAAAATTATTCATGCTATCTAAATGAAATGTGTATAGTAATAAACCCGGCGCGTCACAGCTCTACACACTGGTTGGATGGGAGAGAGAGAGAGAGAGAGAGAGAGAGAGAGAGAGAGAGAGAGAGAGAGAGAGAGAGAGAGAGAGAGAGAGAGAGAAGAGAGAGAGAGAGAGAGAGAGAGAGAGAGAGAGAGAGAGAGAGAGAGAGAGAGAGAGAGAGAGAGAGAGAGAGAGAGAGAGAGAGAGAGAGAGAGAGAGAGAGAGAGAGAGAGAGAGAGAGAGAGAGAGAGAGGAGAGAGAGAGAGAGAGAGAGAGAGAGAGAGAGAGAGAGAGAGAGAGAGAGAGAGAGAGAGAGAGAGAGAGAGAGAGAGAGAGAGAGAGAGAGAGGAGGAAGTACAGCAGCCCGTAATACATATACCATCAACCGGTCCATATCATACCATCGCAGTACTGGCGAAAACGAGCCTTTAAGGGACACTGCTAAATCTCAAGGGAGAACAATGGCTTATACGATAACTTAAATGTCTAATAAATTCTATTGGCGAGGGGGGAAAAGGGGATCAGAGAGGTAACGTTACTGTACAACTATCCTGCTGTACATTCCGTTACACTTTGCAAGGATCCAGTGACCTCGAGGAAGGGCACAGTTACAGCCAGAGAGAGAGACACTTAACCTGTATTACTCCCTTTAATGGATTTACTGGTTTTACTGGTTTTACTGGTTTTACTCTTCTTTCTTAATCACCTCAACCTTCTTCTCTTCCTTCAGTCCCGTCCTGTTCTCCCTCGACCTTTCCCATCCCACCAAACCTGCCCGGACAGGATGGTAAAGTTGTCTGCGTCAGGTATCACATCTAATACAATAAAGTGGAGTTTATGTTGATCCTGGAGCCAATAGGTGTCTCAGGCCAGAGGAACTTACATTAAACGACCCCTGGTAATGCTGTCCCAGGCTGGCCCTCGCGGTGAAGGGGCGTCGTCGGCTCCCCAAGCCCCATAACCGACAGTTCAAATACAATAACACAACCCCACTAGTTTAAACCCAATAACCCAGCTTTATCAGTTTAAACCCCATAACGCACCCCCATCATTTCAAGCCCTATAATCCAGCTCTACCGGTACAAGCACTATAACTCAGTCCCATAATTTGAAGCATCATACCCGTGCCTCATCAGTTCAAGAACCATATAACACATCCTCCCTAGCTTTTATATACACATTTCTTCAAATAAATAATCCCAAATCACACACACATGCCCTCTTATAAACATATCACCTTTTGGGAATATAAATGCTTGAAGATCCATAGATGTGCTCGAGTCATCTCTTTAGCTTCTTTACCCCAAAAGTATTCTGGATTTATATTATCAAAAATTTTGAGAAAATCTTTGGAGCAGGACGACAGAATTATGCTCTCTCTCCACTTAATCTATAATCCCAGCAAGGTCCTCAGTCCTTTTCCCCCTCTTCTTAAGACCTGGCACTTGTAATAAATCTCATCTCCTAGTCAACCTGCAGGACTTCAAACGCTTCTATGACCTTCATTCTCAATCAACAAATGTGTTTGGTCAGCAAATGTATGGATTCATTTCCTCCGGGTAAGTTATTGACGAACATTAGATATCACTCGGGAGAGCGTTGTGGAGTTACACAATTGTAACAATCTTGTTAGTGTAATGTCACAAGAGTCTTACTATTGTAACGCCACAAGGACGTCATTAGAGTAACGTCACAAGGATCTTATAACAGTAACACCACAAGGATCTCTACCATACTACTTGTGTAAAGGAGGAAATGTATATGTTTATCTCTCAGAATGTTCGGTAATACGTTTATTGCTTGTGATGTGTGTGTATGTATGTATTAACACCATGTACTGAACGGGGTGAGAATAGCTTGAGCTACCTCATCCCTTTGTGTGTATTTTACCTCAATAAACTTATTTCAATTTCAATTTACTAGGATCTCATCTGAGAAGCGCAACGAAGATCTCACTTGCATGGCGCCACTAGGAGTCCACCTTCCTTCGGTCAGGCCACTGTTGTTTACAAAAAGCAGAGCGGGTCCGAGCTCTGATGAGCCTTGAGGTACTCTCCTGGTCTCTCTGACCCGTCCTGACCCCTTCCTGTCTACGGGGACTGTCTGCGGTTAGACAGACGCTTCCTCGCCCAAATGAGTTTTTTTTCCAATTATTTAAGATGTTTTTCGAGTTTTATTTAGCAAGAGACACAGATAAGAAAAGTTTCTCACGGGAGTGAAAGTGGCTGCACTCTATAAGGTAAGGTGGCGGGGAAGGTTGTAGCTCTCAAGCCCCGGCTTGAGCCCCGGTTTTAGGAGCAGCATACAGCGTGACAGCCGCCTTGCCACATATATTTACACAATTACCATCATTGCTACTCACTCGCCATCTCCATTACGGTTAGCTTTCTGTACTCACTACTCTCTCGAAAGCAGCAACATCAACAGATTACATATAAACAAAAATTTAATTCCAGTGTGTGACTGACCATAAACTTTTGCTTCCACCATAAAATAATCGACGAAAAGTTGTTACATGTTACCAAACTCTGACACACCTTTGCTAACAACAACAAATCACAACAGACAAAAGTTGGTTGGTATGAACTATGCAAGAGAGCAAAATGTTGGTGGCTGGCAGGAGATAACTGTCGCTCTTAGCGTGTGGGAGTTAGTTCCTGACCAGGAGAATGTCACGAGACCTTTGTCGTCCGTAACTTCTAGAAGTCAGGTCACGACCGCACGAGAGTAAAGGCTCCTTGACACAGGAACGAGTACAAGTGATATTAAGTAAAGACTCCAGATTCTCAGCCCACGGGAGTACGAACACCTCTTGACCAGCGAACGAACACATTTTGCAGGCGATGAGTCACAATAACGTGGCTAAAGTAAGTTGACCAGACCACACACTAGAAGGTGAAGGGACGACGACGTTTTGGTCCGTCCTGGACCATTCTCAAGTCGATTTTCCAGGCCCAAGACGGACCGAAACGTCGTCGTCCCTTCACCTTCTAGTGTGTGTGGTCTGGTCAACACCTTTTGCCTCACTGAGGGAGACACCCCTGAGAGAACACCTGCGTGAACAAGAGAAGGGTCCTCCTCACACGCATAAACTCATAGAGTTATCATAGCTGAATAATCTAAAACATTTGCTTACAGTAAGAGCAATAAGTTCTGCTCTGCTAAGTTCCCTGACAGCATTCAAGTGCTGCTGCTGCAGCTGATGATTGATGGTAATGATGATGCGGCTGCTGCTGCTGCTGATAATGATGATAATGATGAAGATGATGAGCTGCTACTGCTGTGTTTGGATGCTTACTGCTCGCGTGGACTGTCACCCTCGCGTGTCTTAAAAAGCAATTTTATGCATAGTAATTATTCTGATAAATATACAAAAGTCCATCATCAAGCGCAACAGTAGTCTCTGTTGGAGCTACAGTAGCCCTAGCAGGAACAACAATAGCCCCCTGTATCAGAATAGACCACCAACTCCTCCCCCCAACCCCAT